TAGGCCCAATAACTCTTTCACGGGATATTTAAATTTAAATATTCGATTTTTTAGATCGAATCAGATTGATATCGAATATGCATACCCTAACTATAACTACATCTTAACCATGTACATGTGCAAGCAAGTAGAGGTGTTCAAGATTGATTAATGTATAGTTTAATTTAAATGATTTGATTAACTTTTATAATAATTATTAAATTTTATTAATCAAATTTTAATTATTAAAAAATAATTAATATTAATGATTAATCATTATTAGTCGTTCGATCCCGTATTAATTTATAAGCTATTACAACTTTAGTTTTTTCCATGTTTATTGATTCTTTTAATATACCAACCAAACACTCAATAATATACTAATGTTAAATCATATCCGCTCACCTTAGCCTCTCTCCTTGTTCCCCCTTTTATTTCCTTTGAGTTGTACGTTTTCATAGGTCAGATCAATTTTTTTTTTTTCGGTTTTCTTTAGTCGACGACGGCATCGACTTTAACGTTAGTTATCGACCGTTAATTCTCTTTTCTTTGTTTTTTTTTGGTTTTTTTAATAAGAATAATTCTGTCAGTGTTGCATGTTTATCTCTGTATGTGTTGCACATTTATCTCTATCTTTGTGGCACGTTTATCTCTGTATTTGTGGCACGTTTTTCATTTTTTTCTCAGTCGTTTGTCCGATCTTTTATTTATTTTTCTCATGATTGGATTTGGCGACGTCACAACTGATCAAGATGGCACTTATTTGAAATCTTGTTAATCTTCCCTGCTATGGACCTTTGGATTGAGTTTAGATGCGTTATTTTGCGTTTGTGGATAGTTTCTCACGATACTCGTCTCTGATCTGCAGTTCTCGGTGGTCTTTTAATAGCTTAATTCTCTTTGTTGTTCGTTTGCCGATACAATCAAATTTATTCGTATCTATTTTGTTCAAGTCTCTTGGTTGGGTTTTAACATTTTCCATGTATGGTCTTATATGATCTAAAGTGGCTAGTTTTAATGTTATAAGAAAAATACAATTATGTATTAATTTATGATGATAGCTATAACTCTTATGTAATTTCGGATATTTCATTTTTTAATAATACTAAGGATTTTATTAGAAAAAAAAAATACAATTTTTTTAAATTACCGTGTCCAAATTTAAAGATTGTAACTTTTTAGTGAATGAGGACAAATAATAGGTGTGGTTTCTATAAAGAGTACTAATTTTTATTTGGTGTTAATGTTTTCAAGGTAATATTAATTTTTAAAATATTTGTTGATCTAAAAATCTCATGACTTGTTGGCATGGATGTTACACAATATCCATTCTGCATTCCTTGATTTGCTATTACCCTACTGGTTCATCCTTTCTATCCCTCTCCCTAACCTGGAAGAACTTGCAGGATCTTTTTTGGCAGCAACAAAACTATTACAGCGTGGATCTGACACCGTTATATGGGTCTGCATTCCGGCCTCCGGGGATACTTCTCTCAGGTTTGTTTCATACAGTCGCATCGATCTGTTGGGCGAAAATCCGGAACTGAAATAGAATTATCTCTAAAATGCAAGGCTTGCAATCGGTTTTTCTCGATGTTTGCCTTTAAAATTTCTTTGGCATTCTCCGTACTGGTCTTCATGTGTTTATGGGCACTACATTGATGTTTCTTTCGGTTTAACACGTTTTCCTTTCATTCAGCCTGTGGTGGATGCATTTGATCCAAGGTTATTGGTGTGTCCTCCTATGAGCCATGTTATCAACTTCAGTGGAGTGAAGGTATCAGCGTGCCTTTGACTCAAACCTCTTAACTAAGTAAATCTCTTATAGTAATCCTAATGGAACCAAAACGCCTGGTTCTTGGGCATGGTGCATATGTCACTCTGACTTGGGTGTTAGTGTTGAATATGGATATGTGTCTGACACACTATGTTCAATTTGTGTAGAGGGTCCTTGGAGTGAGATATCTCCATACCATGTCTGAATGTGTTGGATACAAGTGTCAGACAAGGGTATTTGAAGCAAAATGAAAAGTTAAGCAGCATAGTGACGCATTGCATCTAGAATCTGTGTTTGTTCTTTTCCACCTTAATATGATTTTCCGAGACTCGAAATTATTTTTCTTGCTTGCTCTGTATAGATTTCATTTATAGAGCCTATATCTGATTCTTGGTTGCTTTTGTAGAACACTGTACTTGAGAAACATTGTTTAGATGTTGGCTTTGTTGCAAGCTTGTGTTCATTAACTATCTTAATCAAATTAAGGTGTGTGTTGAACTCTGTACTTATTAACTCTTTTTGGATCCTTTCGGCAGTGTTGTGGTCATTGTAAATTAAATTTGACATTTTTTTTGCTCGGACTTGTACTTAGGCGTGTGTTGTCGTATACAGATGTTTCCAGCATAAAGTGTAGGCCTGTAAACGAATCGAACGAACACGAATGAATGTATGTTCATATTCGTTCGTTTAACTTCAATCGAACAGATGAACGAACACGAACATAAACGAACGAAAAATTCTTGTTCGTGTTCATTCGTTAAGGAATGTAGTTTGTCCGTGTTCGTTCATGCTCGTCATTTAAATGATAAACGAATACAAATGAACGAATGTAAATGACACAAACGAATGAATGTAAACGAACATAATAAATTAACATAAACGAACGAAAACGAACATAAATGAACATAAACCACAACAACAATAATCATAAAATTCATTAGTATAAGTTGTAATTTTATAGTTAATTGTATTAATTGTTTTGGTTTTTTCATTTGTATTTAAAATCTATTGAATTTAAAATATTAATGGGTATCAAATTAAAGTTTTTTGGGCCTTCATACTTTAAATGGGTCTAGAGAGATTAGGCTAAACATAAGGTGAACGAACATAAATGAACGAGAGTAAACGAACATAAACGATATATTATCAAACGTTCACGAACGTAAATGAATGAATGAGCCATTGTTCGTGTTTGTTCATTTAATAAACGAACATAAAATCTTGTTCATGTTCGTTGTTTAATAAATAAAAGAACATAAACGAACTTCCCGTCGAATGGTTCACGAACGGTTCACTGATGTTCAGTTGTTTATAAGCCTATAATGTGGTTAGATGTTTTTAAATATTTTTGTCTTTTTGAGTATCGTTAGGGTCATGTCTTTATATATTACATAGACTTATACAAAAATAAGTGTCATAACTTTGTCTAAAAAAACGAATTGGTGCCTAAAGTTTCTAAAGGTATACATTTAGGTGCCGCCGTTAAAAATAATCATTAAGTGACATGTCAAATTATGGTAATTTTGAGAATTTAGTTAAAAAATAAAATATTTTTTGTTTAAAAAAAGGTACAGTGCTCCCGCGAGCTCCTCTTTCCCCTTCCCTGCCGCCTGCAATAGGTCATCAGTTGGTCGGTGGTGACCATCACCGTCACTATCATCGACACTAGTGTCGACCTCCTATCAAACTCGCATTGACCTTCATCGTAAGTTACCACAGTTTGTCGTGGAGAAGCGTTCAAAGTTTCAAGGATTTTAAGCAACCGTCGCTATTATTCGTCGATTTTGGCGATCCTGAAGTCCATATGCTACGCCGTCACCATTCGAACCACCGTCCAATTCCGCTCAAACCCATCCTCGCCATCGCTCCGTTGTTTCTCCTCCAGCTTTCCACCACGGTAACAGGTTGAAATGATATTTTAGTTTTTTTTATAATTTCATTAAAAGTTTGAGGGTTCTTTTATAAAAATTTTTTTTTTAAAAATAATATTTTATATTGAAAAATATAACGGTGACACTTAAAAATATAACTAAAAAAACTTAGGCACCAATTTTTACGAAAAATCTTTAAACATTAAATTATTTTTTGAGGAAAAATTCAGACACTTGTTTATATATATATAAGACATGAGTTCCGGGTCGTAGGGTCATATTTTATTTATGTAAAATAGTATCCTACATTAATATGTAATATATATATGTGTGTATATATATGTGTTATACCACACATACCAATCTTAAGATTTGGCTAACAAATCTGTATTATTACTTCTGAAGTTGGAGCACAATAAATATATAAATGAATTGACGCCGGTGAATCTCTCAGCCTCGTAATGCCTGAAAGATCAACCACTATATCTATGTTGTTGACAACGGTAGAATGAAATCTTGGTGGAGTTTTCGACCAAGTGACGGGGGAAATCCAGAAGAATGGTCTAATTAGGTCAAAGAACGACGGAAAATATACGTAACCTGAAATGTGATGAAAAAACATGACATTCTGTTAGACGCAATCTAAAATGTTAATTATTTTTAATATTTTCAGTTGAACCGAAGATGTTAGTAAAAATCTAACAAAAATTCCCACTGAGTGGGGGTTCTCGTATTTTAGCACAGCATAATCCCCCCGCTGTTCGTACGGTCAAAGAATTGAAACCTATTGTAAAGTAACTAGATCAGTTCATTAACAGAGGAGCTTTTATCTTTGCCCATTATGTTTCCAAATTGGTTTACAATCTTATTTCTGTTAAAAAATTATCTAGTCATTTGAATTGTGTCACTAAATCTTATTTCAACTTTATGATGTTTGAATAGAGGAGAAGGTTATTTTTTATTATGATGGGTTTTGAACCCCCAATCTATGACACAGAAGAAATGTCAATCGACAGCTTTTAACTATATCCTCTAAATATTATTGAAAATATGAACATCATTAAAAAATTAAAAAAAAAAAAGTCCCAAATTTATGTAATAAAAAATTTAATTTTATGAAAACGTAAACAAACGTTAGATGAGATTGAAAAACATGAACATGGCAAAAATAAACAAATGTATCAAAAATAAAAAAATATTATTTCAAATACAATTATTGCATCACGAAATATTTCAAGACATTAACAAACACAAATATCAGATCGATATAATATAAATTATGGAATATGCAAATATAAATTGCTTTAAACACTTGGGTCTATATATAACATGCACAAGGTGGTTTTGAACAACAAATATAAGTTTCCTTTTTATCTCATTTCCTAGAAATGATTTAAAGAACACATTTTTCTTGTCGCCCGTTAAACAACACAAGGCCACCACAAGCCATTCAATCTCAACAAGAACATCATCACATTCATCTAAACAATACAATTCCATAAACCAAGCATCATAAGTATAGGCACCTGAATCGTCGTCACCGATGCGTCTGCCGGAAACATGTATGAGCATGGCAACAATTGATGCCAGGAAATAAGATCAGGATCTTTCCACCGCTGAATTTCCTCTCAAGCCCAAATCGAAACTCCGTGCATCGGCTGCCAGAACCGAGTGAATTCAATTAACTATCCGTATACAGAAACATTTAAGATTGAACTACCAGGCGGGTTCTTGTACTATAAGCAAAAGGGTATATTGGTGCCACTACAATAAAAGTGAGCAATCAAGTCCTTGTACTATAACCTATCATGTTTAGTGATGTGATTTTTTTGGGGGGGGGGGGGGGTGGAGAGAACCAAAATGTAGCATCTTTAACATGAAGGCAAAATTGTTCACTTATTTCATACTCCCCACTTTAAAAAATACAACTCAGTATTTTTAACGTTTAACCTTATCACCATTTACAAATTTACCTGTTCACTTCAAAGTTAAACATTCAATTAACTAACTTGCTCGCTTTTACGGTAGAGGGACTAATTTGCACCTACGCCTATGGTCAACCCATCAGATGATCTAATAAAATATTAATGTAAATGTACAACAGGACTAGTAAGTAAAATCTTAGGAGAAAAAATTACTGGACAGTGTCTGATGCAGCAACCAAAGCAGAACACATGGCTGTATCAACGAGGAACGACTCAGAACTCTTTTGTCGATCTGGAAGTGGCAAGGCGTGCTTGAAGACTAACCAGACTAGCAGCCTTGCGTGAAAGCACGAAGCTCAGCTGGGTCACATAATTGTCAATGTGGCTGCCTGGTTGATCCACCTCTGCCAAAAGCTTCATTTCCTGTAGTATAGATACAAAACAAGATCAACAGTGGTTCAATTGTTGTACGAATCTGTAATGCTCGGTCAACTGCAAGTGTTGGGTACCAGCATGTGTCCAACACATGTAAATTTTTAAATAAGTTCAATATATATTTGGAGGGTCCTTGATTGACCATATCCTATACTCTTGTCCAAGAACATATTGGACAGGAGTGTCGAACACGTCCACTTATTGATGTGGGCTCAGTATAATGAATGTAAATGCCTCACAACATAATTACTTGAAAACGAGCATTTTTCACCCTTGGTAAAGTGTAAGTTTACTTACTTCACGAACAATCTCCATTGTGTCCTCAATTTCTTTTCTGTGAGAAGCAATTAGAGCCTCTTCCTCCTACAACAAACCAAAGATATACTCAGAATGAAGAAACTCCCAAGATTATAAACATAGAAAACAAAATGAACCATAACTGATGCCTACCTCAAGTATTGCATTGATTTCTCATCAGTGGGAGGCTCAGGATCATATTGTCTATATCCAACGTTACTTGTTTCGTAATTATTAACAGCATTCACCTGCCTAGAGTTTGAAAGGACAATCAGATCTCCTCCATCTTTCTTGGCCATATTTCTCATCTTCTCCAGTTTTTCTTCTCTATTTTTCTACGAGTGGCGACACCTTCGTTACTTTCTCTTCTGTATCATCAGTGGAAGGCTCAGGATCATATTGTCTATATCCAAAGTTATTTGCTTCATAATTATTAACAGCATTCGCTCGCCTAGAGTTTGAAGTGGACAAATCAGAAGTTCCACCATCTTTCTTGGCCATATTCCTCATCTTCTCTGGTGTTTCTTCTCTTGTTGCTTTTCTACGAGGTGGTGACACCTTCGCATTTTCTCTTCTGTATCAGCTGAATCTTCAGAATTTGAGAGTAAACTCTTGACTTGTAGAACCACCATAATTACCATTCACTTCAAATCTATCCCTATCCACTGGGCCAGAAGCCATTACACTTTCCTCCCTCCCATTGAACGGATAACTTGACGAAAAATTTGCGGGCCGTTTGTTGAAGTCTGCAGCAAAACATCTTTCTCTACAATCTTTCGACCCGTATCAACAAATTTTACTTCCTGTTGTTGCTCATAAGCATCTTCTACATCAGCAGTAGCTACAGGGAAGATGTTGAAGAGCATCCTTAGGTGGCAAAGGATTTCCAGCCTGATCTTTCTTTGGATTACCACTTCTGGAAAGACTCTTAACCCTGTTCATTGGAGAGTAATAACCTTTCTTCAATCGAAAGTACAACACATCTACAGAAACAAAGGAAGTCCGTTTTGTAGAACTTTGTTGTAAAATCAAGCATACCTATCAGCATATCTCAGAGAATTGAGAGTATGTTTCACATGACCCTGCATTGGAGAAATACAAGAGATCATAACTGTTCTTGATTGCCGACAAAAGAGTCACGGAGCACTTCGGTGAGTTTGCTCCCACGGAATGGGATATGGATCTGATCATTGTCTAGAGCAGAATGCACTCCTTAAGAGCCAAAAGACTTTTATTTATTTCAGCCCTTCGATCCTAGGAATTAAAACCATTCTATCAGAACAAGCCAAAAAACACCAGATGTTAAGCTAGTCACAAGCTGACAAATAAAGCTAATCCGTAGATAGTCCCTTTGGATTAGTTTCTGAACCTTTTTCCCACAGAAACATTCAAGCTTACCTAGTTGCCTATCATTGTCAGTGGTATCTGCACCTCTTTCGCTGCCGGCAAGATCAATAAAGGAAATCTTCCCACAACCTTCCCAGGTTTTGATTCATTCCCATCTTGTTCCGCTTCGAATCCTTTCTCTCCAGGTGCTTCTGATGGCAAGTTGTAAAATAGCATGTGACCTTGAAGATTCCTCATTTGCACCAGAGATCCTGTGCTTCTAGCAGCATTTCCCCTCTCAATGTATTCCTCACAATTTGGACTCTGACACCTCAAATTCTTGCAATCCAACAATGCAGACTTGTTGTCTCCCATCTTCTCTCATTAAAAGTTTCCTATTGGAGAACATTTAGATTATTGAGTGACCCAACTGTTATAGTACATATATGCACATCAATACCAATCAGGTTGTCTTAAGGTTAAAAACACACACATGCACACACATAATAATCAAAGGAATAGAAGGGAAATACTTTCTATCACTCAGAAGGTCAAAGAGTTTCCACCATATATCTCAAAAAAGCTAAGCCACAATTTAAATCTCTGATTGCGATAAACTGGCTGATGCAAGTATCTAACAAGGTCTTGTCTGCTCTGAGCGTAATGGTTGCATTGTGAACGTCTTACCACTACCTGAATTGAAGTATGTCATGACAGAACAGAAATTAGCAACAATGCCACATAACCCATAAACTAGAAAGGTAAGGAGTTGTTCACAAAGAAAGGACAAGGAAAATGAGAAAATGACCATCATGTATCGGATTTTTGATTTCTTTGGTTGAACAGAGGATGTCTTCTTTTTCAGGAATTAGATGTTCTCGTAGCACTAATTTTCTCAGAAACACACGCAAACATTTGCAGCATCTATCCAAAGACCAGCATATGCATCAACTTTCAAGTAATAATTCTAATCCTCCCAAATAGTTTTATCCGTTTATTCAATACCATGTACCCATTTAACAAACATTTATGGCTCTAAACTAGAATCTAATTTCTTCCTAGATCTTTGAATATTGTAAAATGATTTTGGGTTTTGAAATGATCTATATAAACAAGCGGTAATTCCCAGTATGGCATTAGGGGAAACCAATGGAATAGAAAACAACAAACATAGCTAAAAAGATGTTTTTACTTTAACATCCAAATATAATCTCCACCAAAGTATGATAAATTAATCTTAATGTTGGAAGAAACTGAGATAATATATGTCTAGATCCTTTTTAAAGCTAGACTTGTTGTAAAAGGATAAGCCCAGACTATTATCATGATTCTATCTCGTTGTTAAACTTGCTTCTGGCAGATAGTTTATCTCCATTTCAACAACTTTTGATTGACCTCTACATCAATTAGACAAAATGTTTTTCTTCATGGTGATTTTTAGGAGGAAGTGTATATGGAGAAACCACATGGTTTTGTTGCTCAAAGGAAGTATGGGAAAGCATGTCGTTTGAAAAACAAAATCTCTATATGGCTTGAATTAGAGTCCCTGGTTTGGTTTGGGAAGTTTAGCCAAGCTATTGAGAAGTTTGGGATACAGAAGAACAAGTCAGATCATTCAGTGTTAAGTCTGATGGACATTTTATTCGATTAGTTGTATATGTGGATGATATTGTATCACGAGTGACTTTAGTTGAAGTTCATCTCTGAAGTCTTTTCTACATACTCAATCCCATACCCAAACTTAGGGATGTTAAAATATTTCTTAGGAGTTGAAGTTAGCAGAAGTTAGGATGGAATCTTCCTATCTCGGAGGAAGTATGTGTTTGATTTACTATCGGATTCGGAAAAACTAGATGTCAAACCATGTAGTACTTTAATGGTTCCCAATTTACAATTAACCAAGTAAAAGAATTATTTGCAGATCTTGAGAGTACCGAAGACTTATTGGAAAGTTGAATTATTTTTATTGTGACATGTCGTAATATTGCTTATTCGATAAGTGTGCGCTGTCAGTATATGTCATCACCAACTTTTAATTATTGGAAGGCAGTAGAATAAGTTCTACAATGCTTCTGGACATGAGATTCTATATGGAAAACATGGCCAAACTTGGACATGATTTCTATATGGAAAACATGACCATACTAGGATCGAATGTTTTTAGATTCGGATTGGGCAGGATGTATGGAAGATAGGATAGCTACTTCAGGATATTGTGTGTTTGTTGAAGGAAAATTAATTTCAGGGAAAAGTAAGAAGCAAAATGTGGTCTCAAGAACCAGGAGGAAACTTGATTTCATTGGTTTGTGAAACCACATTATGTTCTATGGCCAAGTCTTTGTTAGAAATCATATGGGTATATTAGTTCCTCAATGAAGTAGGAATTAAGGTTTTCGTACCTGCAAAGCTATAGTGTGATAATCAAGTTGCGCTTCACATTGCTTTTAATCTATTCTTTCATGACAACTAAACACATAGAGGTTGATTTTCATTTCATTCGTGAAAGATTCAAGGTTCGATTACTACCCTATGTGAAAATTGGAAACAACTAGGAGATATTTTCACAAAGGCTCTTAAAGAGATCCGAATTGATTACTATGTAACAAGTTAGGCGTGAATAATATCAATGCTCCACTTGTGGGGAAGTGTTACAAATTTGTAGGCTATATCTTAGGATTAATATATATGACATTTAATGTAAGATATTACAATAGTTAATGTAAGATATTACTTTACATATATAAGACCTTTATACTTGTTTATACCCATAATGTTGATGAATAAATGTACGAGAAAGCATTCTATTTCAAAATTCTACAACCGCCATTTAGGAAGAAGGTTCAAAAACTTCGCACCTGTTTGCCCGTATGCAAAACATGGCTTTTGTTCGTTGAAAGATGATGGGAATAATCGGCTCACAGTTTCACGGTACACCTATTGACACAAACAAAGAATAAATAAATCCTTTTCTTCACAAATCAAGAAACATAAAACTTTGGTCATAATGTACTTAAAGTTTATTCAAGAATCACATATGGATGGAAATACTTTCAACCAAATATTACCTCGTCATTAGTAACATTCTCATCCAGAACAGCATCAAAACAAAACCATTTCTCTACATATGCTGTTAGGTCCACCTTTACATAACAATCAAAACATATATAAGAAATGGCATATCAAAGAAGCACCAATGGTTCTTAATGATCATCTCAATACATAGTGGCT